AGATTTTTTAATAAAAATTGAAGCACTTTTTAGAAGTACCGAGAAAGTTTGTATCTTTTCTGGAATTTTTCACACGTAATGAATTCTGAAATATTCTGAAACTTCTCATTCTACGATTTCAAACATTTATATCTCCGAATATTCGCATACGTGAAAAATTCCAGGAAAAGAAGCGGACTTTCTCAGCCATTTCCGAAAAGCGTACCAATTCGTTGCAAAAATTCTGAGAAAAATTTTCACCCGGGGTATTTCTGTGAATCGACAGAAAACTTCGATGGCAACGTACGAAAGACGCGTTTTCTGCTCTCCGTGTGTTGATTGAACGCACTTTCCAATAGCGTAGAGTTACTTAGTTAATAATTGTTACTATTAATGATTGTCACGGTATAATACGCAAGACATAATATATAGAGAGTCCTCCATTATGAGACCGACTCCTAGTATGGAATAACGGAGTTTCTGCTAAATTGATGGGCATCATCTGTTGGTTCCACCATGAACTTATTGCCCTCGGAGTGAAATCCGTTTGGTAGCAAATTGATCGTTAGATCGTGTAATCGTTGCGAAAAAAAAAGATGTGCTAGTCGTCGAATTTGGACGTTGAAAACCTACTATCTCATATTAGAGTCCTGTTTCGTAACGGAGGACTTTCCTCTATGTTAAAAAAAAACACACAGACAAGCAAGTTTATCATTTATAAGGTGGACGTTATCCTATCCTGTGCCTCTTTTACTGGCAATTTGCTGCATTCGAGACTCGGCACGCTAATTACTTTGATAATTGTGCCTCGTGGAAGGAATGAGTGCAAGTCGTTGCGCCGTTTACAAATCGCCAAGGTCGCCTGTAATTTTTCGCCGTTTTACATTTTCGCGAAACCTTGAAGTTACATCCACGTTTCGTCAGTGGCACAAAAAAGAAACGCGTCTTTTTCCAACGTTTATTGCCTTATTTCACTTATTCCAATAAGTTTCAATACAAACACATCTTCCTATCTCGTACAGTTTATTTTTTCATGGAAAGACACTTCAATCATTGATTAAGTATCGATTCAAGTTGGAATAAAAATGTATTTCTTATCGAGAAATCGCAAGTTTTGTTACGCAAAGCTTTGCAATTTAAGATAAATCCCCGAGATGTGCTTTGCCAATGCGCCAACAATAAGAACGGAATTGTATATCGAGTCGAGAACTTGTATTGTTTCGTTTCTGAACCTATCTGTAAATTTGCCTCATTTTCGGAAGATAGTAAGAGCGATTCTCGTCTATCTTTTGAAAAGGAATAAAGAGAGACAGCACACGTCGGAAACGTTAAACTCGCGTGTTGCATGATTAAGTGTATTCGGAAGATTGTCGCAGCGTGCAGGAAATGTAGGCGCACGTGTAGCAACGTTTCGCGGAAACGATTAATAATCACACTAATAGTCGCGAGACTCGGTCCTCGCGCGAATAGATTTATGCAATCGGGTATAAGAGGTCTCGTAAGAAAAGAAAAAAAACCTGTCGCCAGCGATCTCGTCGAGCGAAAATATTGTTCAAAGTAATACGAAATGGAAATCGTTGCTCAGCGCCGACTCTTGGCAGCGAAATAGCTACGTAATTTTTTCTCATCGAAAACAATTAGATGATTCATTATTGATTATCGCGCTTTATATGTTATAGTATACCGCGTCCTCTAAAGTGTTGCTAATGCATGCGTATAATAAAGGCCGCTGTGCGGTATATTCTCGCTTCAATTTCTGATGTATGCGAGAGGCAGCGGCTTAACGCAATCAATTAACATGCGCACTTGAGCTTTGTGAAACGTCTTTCCGGGGCGATACGTGTGCAAATACCTAGTTGATTTGCCAGAATCGACTATCGCTAACAATAAGTCGAAGCATCCCTGTTGCAGATCCCCGCCGTGTTGAATCTGGTTCAGAAATCTCCCTACCAGAGCGTCTCATCGATTAGCATAAGAGTGGACATCCGGGAAGTGTGACCCCGAAGACCTAGTGATCGAATCCGACGACCAGGTTGTTTTTTTCACGACGCTTGGTCTTTTCAACTGCGCGAACGAGGAATCAATATGGATCGAGTGTACATAGACAAAGAGACGGGCGAGGATCTGATTCAATCGCTCTACGAGTGTGACATTTGCCATTCAACTGGTTCAACGACGATAAACGATGCGGAGACCGGGGAGCCAGAAGTCAGTCTCGCGGATCACGTAACGGCCAGATGTCATCGGAGGAGAGTGCCGTTTCAGGTACCGGAGGACATTTGTTCTCTTCTGAAAAGCTCATTTTTCAAAATATTCCCAACTTGGGATCTCAATCAGCGATATCAGATTATGAGATACATTGCGTAACACAATTATGTACCTTGTGAATTTGCGCTCGGCGAGTAAGATAAACGAGTTATCTACAGATACCGAAGGAAGTAAAGGAAAAGACGAAAAAACGCTATCACACGGAGCTGGAGCCAGTACCAGTGGGCGCTTCTTTCGGCCAGATAAATCCCGTCTGTTTGTTCTTACCGGCGATCATCTACTTCCGCTGGTTCCTCGCTCTGCTCATGATCTTCGAGGTATTATTCATTATGTTGAAATTTTGAAAATTCTTTCGTAATAAAACAGCTCGACGCTTTACATCTACTTTCGCACATTAAGGTCGTTCTGCACGTATGGGCACACCACAAGAACAAGATCCTGAAAAATGCCAATGTGTACTTCCGCTCACCATTCCACGACATCTCCGCCGAGTTCTGTGCTCTCTGCCAGAATGAAATGTGCATGAATCGTGTCGGGAAGATGCACCAGATTCGAATGCACAAATTTCTGCGGCAGTGCAACTACATGAAGAGAGTCGTGACGTAACTCGAGCGAAACAAGCGTATCTGGTGATGTCCTAAGTGTCGTGAAAGTTTTTAATGGTGAGATAATTATAATCGGTTACTTTGAACTTTTAAAAGTTATATACAATATCTCACTTGTTATATATATATACACCTATATATATATGTAACAAGTGTATATTACGTTACATATGTTATATATATTATGGTTGTTATACTTTTATTCTTTTTTGTGGTAATATTTGACGAGCGACTAAAATCTATTTTCATATTAAGTTTTACATCCTCTATAACGTATAAACTTACGACGTATGTATGCATATATTTCTAGGAGAAACCTTTGTAAAGTTTCTTTGGGAGAGAATGTTATAATATATATACTAGATATGAGAATAATCATTTTATATTCCATTTTGTGAATTACAATCTTGTGAAAAGGTTTCCATTAAAATTCTAATCAGGATTCACAAATATAAAATATAAATTATTGTGTAAGCATCTGCTTTCTTCCTGCAACCACATCATTACAATGCTAACAACAAGCGAAGAATTATATTAATCTTTGTCTTACGCTATATATTGAGATTTTCGTTGAGAAATTCGTTTATAATAAGTCTTTACTCACACATGTTTCATAACACAGATTAAAACACACTTTTGTCCGCCGATTCATTTTGAAAGTTTATGATAAGAATTAAAACTAAGTGTTCAATTAACAAGATCAGATTAAAAATATGACATGTTGAGTCTATTATTATTCAGTCTGTCATTATTAATTCGATTCAGTTATCGTAACGCTAGAATTTCCCTGACTGCAATTTTGCAAATTGTGTTAAAATCTGCAGCGATGTGAATTCTCCAAAAACGGCATCTATTCCAAATTAACGCAGGATAATTCGGACTTTGTATTCCATGAAAGACACGGGCTATGGCGCGACCTGTAAACTTGGTATCCCTATAACGTATTATTAAACTGCGAACATCGGCTGCGATCTCTTGCTCGTTCGTCACTTTATTCTGTAAAGAGATAAAAAGGTAAATGTATCTCCAATTTTAATTATTCTTCACTTTGGAAGTTCTCATATTTACAATTGAAGAACATACTTGAGAACTGATATCGGGATTATTCAAAGGAGAATCCGATTGGAAGTATTCTCTGATGGTGTCTTTGAGCTCCTCCGATCTCTTCGTAATATCATCCAAGGTCAGGCAATCTTTGACTGACGATACGCTAACTTTATTAAGCGCGGAGGATAGAAGCTCGAGTTGTTGCAAAGACGAGGATTCCTGAGATTGAGTGCGTGCGATCAGTGCATCGAGTGCCTCGTCTAATTCAATGTCTGTGAGATCGCCCGGCGCTTTCACCCGTAAACCGAGTTTATCGTACTTTACCGATATAGCTGAACGTTTCATCCTCCCGTCAACTGCAAAACACATCCATATAGATAAATTACGTTCTGAAACGAGGAAAACTCTCTAAAGTAAAAAGAATGTACGTAGGACTCTCTTACCCCCTGTCTTCCATTCTAAACTCTTGAGATGACTCTTCACCACGCCGCTGTCCCATCCGATTGCTGACGCAACGTCAATTATCGGGAATTCGATAATATTACTATTTTCATGTGAAATTCCGTTTTTCATGTCCAGCGCTATTGCCATCGCGAGTGGCGGAGACTAAAATCAAAATCGTTTTCAATCATTTTTACGCTTATATTATTCTTCGTTATATTATTCTCGTATTGTACTCCTGCTGTAGAATTTAGAGTAACCTGGAACACTTAGTCAATCATTAATGTTATTACTCTTTTGAAAAAGATCTTACAGATTGTGCGGCTTGTTTGAGACCTTGTGGTCCTCTGTAACTTGAAACCCGTGCTCGAACGTACACGGACGATAGCACAGTAACAAATTTTTTGGGATGCAGCTCAAGATAGCACAGCAATGTCGAAATCGTTTCCTGCGTGATGTCAAGAGCCTGAACAGTCTCGTCGATCGGAAGAGCAACCTCGTGACCGGGACATCTTTGGTGTCGCGGATCTTTCTCGTTCATCTTTGCGCAAGAACAAGGAATGAAAATTCTTTGAAGTAGATGTCTAATCGTATGCCTGTCGACACCATTCGCATGTATGTGTTTCCGCAATTCCCATTTATCGCTGTCTTGCTGTTTTAGGAATAATGAACTGGATTAATAACGGGATCCAAAATGAGCGCGAAACAGAGCAATCTTAGAATTCTTAATTAGATACGATACCGTAGGTTTCAAGAACAGGTGGCAATGAGCTGCGTTGTTGTCCCTTCCTGCACGACCGACTTCTTGAACGTATCCTTCGAAGGTGCCAGGCATATTGTAATGAATGACTGCCCGGATGTCCGGTTTATTGATGCCCATCCCGAATGCAATAGTGGCAACCACAATTTTAATTTTCCCATTCATAAATTCCCTTTGCACAATTTTGCGTCTGTGAGACGTCATACCGGCGTGATAGGCCTCAGCTATTGTGGATATCCTTGCGTTTGGCTTCTCAGAGTTCAGCGGATCCTATTCCCAGGGAAGATACATATTTAAAACAAATCTCTATCTTGTATTCGAAATAAATTGCAAAATGCCCGAGCCACCTCTTTTTACGCGAATGCAGAAGAGCTAATTTATTTCATCTCGTGCGAAAAGGCTTACGTTTCTTGCGTCTACCGTGTTACAATACAGTGCAATTGCAGCGAGGGACAAGAGGTCTTGATATTTACCTGCAACGATATTCTTAACAATCCTGCGATCCTCGCACACTCCTCCCTACGGATGCAGTAGACTATCACAGAATCACATTCGCGGAATCTCTCGCTTTTCAAGAGCGCGATCAAAGCTTGATCCTTGTTCGCGTCCTTGGACACCGTTAGGATGAGATTCCTAGGTAAAGGCACGTCCGATATGACGCCAGCCATGCCGTCACGTATGCCTAGATGCTCTATTATACTTTCCGCCGTTGCTTTTGTAGCAGTCGCCGTGAGTCCCAGCACCGTGTTCACCTTTAACTTCTCCTTGAGCACCCGACAGACCATTAGGTAGGAGGGTCGGAAATTGTGCGACCACTGGGAAATGCAGTGGGCCTCGTCGACGCAGGCGAACGCGATTGGCGGTAGCTGTCTGAGGAGGGCGCCGAAGCCAGTGGATTTCTCGCCGGCCACCACCGCCTCTGGCGACACCAGCAGGATATTTACTTTGCCGTCTTTCACCGATCGCATCACCTGTTCCCTTACTTTTGGCGTCTGGCTGGTATGTAGGCACGCAGCGGACAGAAACTGTGGTACGCCCGTCACTTGGTCGTCCATCAAGGATACCAGAGGCGAGATTACTAGAGTGATACAGCCAGAACGTCGGGCGTATAAGTACGCCGGTAATTGGTAACACAGCGACTTGCCGGAGCCCGTCGATAGCGTTACCAGGGTGGATTGGCCAGACAGGATTCGCATCACTGCTTTTTCTTGGCCAGCTCTGAAACTCTCGTGGCCAAACATTCGCAGCGCCTCCAAGACTTCCCTGGGTGTTTCGATGAGGCCACCGTCTTCGTTCGCAGCGTACAACGGATCAATCGCGTTCATTTCAGGCGGTAATAATCTGGACACCAACTCCTGTGGCACTCTGTGCCCGAAAGTCAACGTATCGTTGTTCTCGTCGATATCCGCAAAGTCATCGTCGAATAATCTTGCCATATCTTCTTCGTCCTGCGAAGTCCTCGTAGTGGAATAGGATGGTTTTTCGGGAAGTCGTTCGATTCTGTGACTGTGAGCGACAATGGCATTCTCGTTCGCCATCTTTTCGGCTTCCTCCAGAGTCGGATAGCTGGACGAGTCGTCGACCTCTTCCAAAGGTAAAAGAGCGTCGCCCTTGGCAGCTGAGCAGTTCCTAGAGAAATGCCCGGATTCGCCACATTTGAAGCACTTCATGCCATTTTTATCGATCAGGTCGGCCGCGTCCAGATTGCTCTCGCTAGATGCCAACTCTTTCTTCCTCTGTTTCCACTGATTCTTCTTATACTTGGCAAAGTTAAAGTGCTTCTTACCGCGTACAAATACCTTTTTCTTCAGATTAATTCTGACGAAATTATCGTTCATCGTCCCGGCAGCCATTTTCTTCTCGAGCTTTTCCTTGGCGGACAACTTGGTGCTTGTCGAAGACACCGAGCTACCTTTTTCCATCGCGCCGACGTGAACAGATTCGGTAAACTGCGTGACGAGATCACCGCTTTCAGTTGCTTTAATCTCAAAGCGCGGAATCGTTTGCAACATTTCTACACCGTACGTCGGCATCTTTTTCATATTCGAGTCTGAATCTCGCTCTTCGTCTTCCTCCAACTTCGATTCTCTTCTAGAAGATTTTCTCCTTACATTAAGTTTCTCTTTACTGTCATCCGTCGACTTCTTCTTACTCCGTTGTCTCGTACATTTCTTTACGGTCTGTGTAGTATTCTTTGTCCTTGTCTTAGTCTTCTCATCTTTCCCCTCCGTATAATCGGGATCGGAACTGTCAGGTGATACTTGCTTCACTCTTCGACGCAATATGCGTTGTTTCGCGGATTTTTTATCAGATATCGAAGAGTCCTCCTGGTTCTTAGAATCGACTAATTTCGAAATGGTATCCGTCAATTCGGGTGCTTTATCGGTTGAATCGTTTGTAATCTGCCAGACATTTTCAGATGCCACGTTGTCCTTAATTATAGCGTTCGATTTAATGTCCGAATCTGAAGTATCTACGTGTCTTTTAGTTCTATTTGACTCGTTCGTTATATTTGTACTTGTCTGAACATTACTTTTAAGTTTGCCATTGTTAATTTCGTTTTTACGCTCATCTCTAGGCAATAAATTAAAACTGCTGTCGACACAGCAAGTTCGATTAAATATATCGCTGTCTGTTATATCATTGGAGCCAGTGGTGGTAGAACCGGAGTCGATACGAAGACATTGTCGTTTTGCAGGACGATCGTCTTGATCGCTGAGTCGTTTCTTAAAGTTTCTAATACGTTTATTCCTGTGCTCTTCCTCGGACTCGCTGTTACATATAAAATCTTCCTCGTCGGAAATCTGGAGCGACGAGACGGAAGGCACAGTGGGCGCCAAGTCCTTTGGAGAATAAATGCTAGATTCCATGGACTCTATTCCAGAATCGCTGGTGCCGGACAGCCTCTGAGGGTTGATCGTCATCACTTCCAAATTACTGTCTCTCGTGCATCGATCCAGCCAGCCTGGATTCAAATTACGGCTTACGCCGGTCACATGGCCATCGGCCAGCTGTTGGACGGCATTAATGCAGTGTGGCGCCACGGGTTTGCTCTTCTCAAACGTCACTTTTATTGATTCGCCAAATATAGGCTTCGTCTCGTCAGCCACAACGTTCAAGCCATCCTTGCCATCCGCGACCAACCGGTCGACGCTCGAGCTGTTTAGGATATTGTTCTCGGATTTGTTCCTTATTTTGATCGACGACAGCGACTTCCTCGGGTTTCGCTTCGAGAACGTCGAACTCTCAAACTTGTTTCTGGACAGCTGGAAGGAGGAGGATCTACCAATCAACAGGGCCTGCTTCTTCTTCGGCGCTTGCTCCTTATTCTTGCTCAGATGGCTGCCCCAGGCTCCTTCAACGTTCGCTCCGTCCAATTGGCCGAAAGAGCCCTCAATCTCTGCCGAACGTTTGCTGTCGTGAGGATCTATGTTCTCTGTATCTTTCGTAACTTTTTCCGGACTGAGACTCTTGTCTTTCCTCGGACTGTTTACTAGCTTTCGCGGTGATTTATTTGAGATATTGTCTTGCATGTCATCGCAGAAAGTGATGTCCGTGAGAGTCTCCTCGAGCGCCCGCGTTTTCAGTTTCCAGTACATCTTGTACGCCTCCTTGATAGACACGTCTGCTTCCTTTATATCATTCTACAATTTACAGAAAAGCGACATGATATAATCGCGACGCAGCGATACGTGTACACGACATGCGCGATAATACCGTATCGATGATTTTCATTGATAATGTAACAAACATATGTAAAGACACTGGAGTACCCGATAGTCGTCAATTTTTATGCATGCATACAATTCGAACCAAATATAATCGCAGAGTCTGATCGGTCTAACGTACCGCTCGTGCGAATACGAATACAAGACATTTAATATATCAATTACGATAGAAACAAGCGAGCTGGCACAATAGGGGCAACGTACCTTGTGAGGTTTGCGTCCATATTTTTCCATAAAATCGCTCTCCCACCGTTTCACGCGAAGTTTATTCTTCAAGTATTTAGTTTTGAAAACGGGGTCCTCGAAGAGCTCCATCTTATCGAGAAGACAAATCAACTGGCTCACCGCATTCGAGGCACTCGCGTAATTGAGGTTCAAAGCTCGGAGTTTCGAGGTTATAGGCACAGCTGCCTGCGGACTGCGGAATGCGAACCCTCTCCCGCGTAAACACACACGAAGGTTAAAATGACCCGTGCGTTGTGATTGGCCAGGGCCAAGAAATTCCAACGTCCAATCGCAACCGACAATTCAGTCAGACGCATAAGAATTGACCAATCGCAGTCGATTATTCTTACGACTACGACCATTGTAGACAGAACCGAGAATCATTGTAGCGGAGGCTTGATTGGTCAATTCTTATGTGTCTGACGAAATTGACCAATCGCAGTCGATTATTCTTACGACTACGACCATTGTAGACAGAACCGAGAATCATTGTAGCGGAGGCTTTACATCCGCCGCGCGCATGCGCGAAAAACGCGACCGGTCCGACATTACTGGCGCTGCGCGCGAGCTACGCGGGGGCGCGCGTCCGGTGGCGCCGCCCGCGGCGCGACGACGCAGCTCAGTGGCAGGCAAGATGGCCGAACGGTGGTGACGGGTCGTGGTATGCACCGCTGGTGGATTCGCGATCACGGCGCAGTGCGGATGGCCTAGCGATGGCCGAGTACAACATCGACATCGGCAAGCTCCCGGAGGACGTGCGGGAGAAGCTCGCCGAGCTAGACCTCGAGCTGTCCGAAGGTGAGTGACCATTTTCTCTCGACTTGGCCGAACGCAATTCGCCGATTGTCCGCCGCCCCTCGCGGCCGACTCGCTTCTCCCCGTCTCTCGTCCTCTCTCTTTCTCTCGCCTTCGCGCGCACTTTTCGCCTCTCTCTCTCTCTCTCTCTCTCTCTCTCTCTCGCTCTTTCTGACTCACCCCGTGCTACACCGAGATAGAATCCCCTAGAAGCCCCCGTTTGTTGATAAAATCGATAACACCTTACGGCCGTTGCCGTCTCCGTTCCCTGTGCGACGAGTCCGAAATCCTCGCCGTTTCTTTTTTCTTTTTTTTTTCACGGATCCTCGGCAACTCGCGACGTCCCTCCCGTCGAATTTAATTAATCGGATAACAGACAAGTGTGTTATTTAAATTCGTTGAACCGCTGATGCCGAGAGAACGGGAGAACGTCGAAAAGATGAGCCGCGAGGGGCGAAGGGTTCAAAATTACCAAGCTTGTCTCGTGATCGTGACAAACCGTGTACCGAGCGGTAGTAAATATCTGTCGTGCGAAACGGAGTACTCGTTTTCCCATTTCTAAAAATCACAATGGCCGTCCTTCCCCCTCTCGACAGAGGGAGGGTGAAGCTCCTCGTCACGTCCGCATTTGGATTTTATTTGTCCCGTAGCGTTGACAACGTTCATTATCTGCCTTATCACGGCTGGCGCCTCTTTCGATTCGAGCCGATCAAGATTATCGAAAAAAAAAAACACAACAACTCGGTTTTCGATAATCGCCGGGGATACAAACGACGCAAACAACTTTTGTCCGTTACAACGCGCTCGATAACTTTTTACTCCGAGGAGTTAAAATTTCTCGGAGTCGCGCGGACTCCTCGATTGCGGTTTTACTCGTCAAGTGTCCACTTTACGCTTTCGACAAACGTCACGTAAAAGTCGTAAAAAAAAAATGCACTGACCCACGTTGGCGCGTCATAAAATTTACAACGCGGCTCCAACGTCGCCGTGGAAGTGTCCGAGGCTTTTCTTCCCGCGAGTGAGCTGTAACTCACTCAAGAATGCGGCTATTTGCATTCGTAGTTAGGACTGTTGTAAGGAGGAAGCGACCGGTTTCTCTCGAGTCTCTCTCTCTCTCTTCCCCCTAAATGGCAGGTGTCCCTCGGAAAATTCTGTCGTTTGTGCACGTGCCAATTCGATGACGTAACGGATAATTGGAGGGGTCAGTAGTGGAGAAGTTAGAAAACGCCGTGTGTCCCCGTCGTTATGTGTCAATTATGTGCAAATTAATTCGATTAGATCTGTAAAAAGTTTGAATTATTAGCAGAGCGCCAGCTTGGCAATTAACCAATTAGACATACGTATTCTCTCTCTCTCTCTCTCTGTACGTCTGTCCTTTTCCTCCCTCTTATATAGCAACTTGTGCTTGGAGAATTCGGTTTTTGTACGCTGAGAAAATTTTTCCTTGGATAAATCGATCAAGTGGCGTTTCCGATGAAAAAATGAACCATCGGCTTTTTCTGATTAAAGTTTCTCGACTGAATTATGGACGTATTCGATGAAATTTGTTCAATAAAATTGCAGTTACGGATGGAATTTAATCGAAACACCGATATTTTTCATCGAATATACAATTTAATTGAATATACTCGTTAATATGCAATTGATTATCCGATTAGACAGGCTGGGATATTTTTCTCAATGTGTGCGATTCTTTAAACTCTATTCCGCGATTATCGATCACGATCAGACAATCCCCCAATGGCCGAACCTCGAATGACGGATCCTCGAATCTGTAGATTCTCTTTACGACACATACGAACGAACGTCACAATTAATCATTAAGGTCATCGCGGCCTCGCGAGCTCGAGTCACTTGTGAGGCAAAGACAAGAGCTCGGTGGTTGAACGGACGTGGAAAATGCAATTTCTTGGTCAACTGCTCGACCAGGCTAGCACGTGGCGCGGGTATAACGTAAGCGGCTTACGTCGTCCAGCTGTAAATAAGACTTAAAAGTCTACGTCAGCGCGGCACCGTGCATCCGCATTAATAAAGGAGAAACGACTCCATCGCGCGCGCTTGCGAAGCTCGACCTCGCGTTACGCTATGCTCTTCGTTCCAGCACTGCTAGAATGAAGCTGGCAATAGATTGCTCGCTTACATATTTGTCTATTGATGAGACTCGTCTCTTGGCGAAACAGACGGGCGTTAATTACGCAATGTGTCGGACATAGTAATAAAATAACAACAAAAGAGAAAAATTACAGCTTTCGAGATCACGGCGCAGAGAGCCTTTCCATTGGCGAATACAAAAAGTATCGTGGAATTCGGGTCTTTATATTCTTACCACACCCTCGGAAAGGATTTCTGCAAGGGGGAAACCGCTGAGGGCATTGTGGTGTACAGATTTGCGGCATTACTAGGCATTACTAGGCATTACTAGGCATTTTTGGGACATTAGTTTGGGCAGTGGGTCTTGCTGCGGCATTGGTGTACAAGATTTTGGTCAGCGGTTTCCCCCTCGGATTTCTGTTAAGACAAAAAATATTCTTCACGCATTTATATTTCTCACAATCTCGCATAAAAATACGACGATATCGAAATAAAATCAATAATTCTTATTCCCCTCTATCGAATTAAAAAAGATTGACCTACTATATCGAGACGAGAGTGACTTATATAAATGTAAGTTTATGTATTCTTGCGGTTAGAATAAATTTTTCCTCCATCTTACAGCGCACGAAGTTGGCACCACGATATTCGACGAAAGACGATGCATCATTTCCGTTTCTCTTCTCGTTCAAATATAATCAAATTATTATTATTAATTCACAGCATCGTTCACGTATTTTACCTATAATTCTTTATCTCTAATTTACGTTGGGTTTAACACCCCTTCAACAAGTTTCCCTTCGTTTATCCGGTTTTAGTTATTCAATCCTCTTTATGCCTGGGGCCATACGGAGACTCACTGATAACACAGATAGAAGGATGACTCTGAAGTCACATGGTGCACTGATTCCCTAAGATTATTGCCTTGTGCTTTATTCAGTCTAAACGTGGTAATTGATTATAACTATCGAACCAATTTGTACTATAACTCGTATTACATTCTTATCCCGAATCTTCGACGATCTCATTTTAGTTTACACTGAGGAGGACCCGAAGAAGGGTCGAAACGTTTGTTTTCTTATCAAAGAGAACTTTCGACTTTAAATTGTGAGAACCGAGTTCCGCTCATTTTGCGGCTCGCATTGGCACTTTCTCCTTTCTACATATTTTACTATCATTTCATTCGAGACAAATTGAGTGAATCTTATTGTCGCCAGTGATAATTCAAAAAGGGAATATTTTTCAGAAAGTCGACCAAATTGGCAAAAAGGTGATCTTTATTTAGTTCACAAAGTTTCCACCTCTTAATCGGGTCCTTTTCAAGTGTGTTCTATAGTTGTCGGAGCAGCGTAATTTGTTTAACCGAAACAGAATGATGCACTATTTCTCTCGCCAAAAACTAATTAGTATCTACCTCCCCGAAGATACACCCCTATTTATTATGGATTACATTAATCGCTGTGCAGACTGCGGCAAATAAATGAAACATAAGAACGCGCGCCTTGAATTCTTCATCTAAAACAAGATGAGAGCGAAAGGCGGGCACAGAGATGATTTGATTTATTATTTTATAAATAGCATTAAAAATGACGCCAACGCATTAAGCAATATTCTCTTCGACAAACTCTTTTGTTCTTTCTACTTTGGCGAGTATTTTTCTTGCGCTATTGAAAGGCTTCTGAAAATAAATGTCCTTTTCCGAGTTCTCTAGCGAGCATCGATGAATTGGGTCGTGCGAAGTGGTTTGAGAAGCGTCGTTTTTGTCGCGGTATTTATCGCGCGACGTGTTATTAAGTCATTAGTTCTCGATGCAGAAACACGAGCGGACGATTCACCTAGTAAAATAATAGAAAGCGATCTTAACCCACAATCTCATAATTGCCGTGTTATTAGGCCAATTAGAAATGCCGTGTATTTATCTCGGCGGTTTTGCGCATCGCAGTGTTACTTAAGCCTGAAGATTATCGTCAATTTTGCACAAACGTGTCTATCGAAATCGATCGAAAGTGTCGCCTACAATTGTTCTAGATTGAGCTCCCGAGCTTCTTTCACATCGGCGGATTTGTACCTCGCTTCTCCGTTTTTTACCACGCGCCGCTCCACCGCCGCTTTACATTCGCGTGGTTGTAAATACATCAACGTTTATAAAACCTGTCGTTTTTCTCTGTCTTATTACCGTCCGGTTTATTCCGATCAGCAATGCGACTCTGGAATTTGAGCAATGGAACGATCACTCGATTAATCTTTGCGATACTTTTTGCCGAACGTTTTGTTTCCTTGATGGACAGTAGGAATGGGAGGAGAGCAGGGTTGATTAGCCGCGATTTTGTCGCACGCGACGCAGGTGCAGCCGCAGCATCACCGGGCGCTCCTACGTTTGTAAGATCAAGGTCGCCGGTTTCGTGGGTAAACGTCCTCGCGTCGCCTTGAGAGCCAGTGTGCTTCGTAGACACTCCTCGTACTTATCGGCTATTATAGCGTCCCTCCTCCGCACCATTCTGACGATATACCTATATACGGTTTAAGGATCCACGTTGCCACACGGCATCCTCATATCAAGGCCCGGTGATATCGAATGTCCTCGATATATGAGATTACGAACCTCCCTGGTGCTTAGAATTTTGATGGAGAGAGTTAGAGGGGAGAGGAGACGTGTTACACATTGATAGATAGAGAGAGAGAGAGGCGATTTAAACTCTTTAATTATGTAAGTGAATATGTGCAGGCTGGCGAGCTGACAGATATCCGTGCGATATCAATTCGACGATCCAAAGTGTACCTAGCATAGTCTTTAATGTTTGTAGTATTCACACACAGAGCATCGATAAAATTCAAAGTAAACCACTCGAATGTTTATTCGGATCTTAATGCAAATATTGACTGTGCAATTATTATACAATGTCTCATATTTGCGATCTAATTTCAATGGCAGATTTAATCGCGATATTACTGCTGGATTAATTTATTAATTGTCTGTAATATCGTAAAGAGAGAGGGGGAGAGAGAGAGAGAGAGTTTGTGAATTTAATCGTTTGTATTCTATGATCTCGAAAACCACCGGACCGATTGTAACGTAGTTTTAACAGCTGTTTCTTTATCATTTCTGGAGTGTCATAGACCGTCATGTTGTCTTATCAAAAAATTGCGCTGCGAACAAAAATAGATATTTATTTAAGTCGCAACGTAAGTTTGTAATGAAAAATACTTTGTTACAGTACTTTGAAAATGTCTTGAAGTCAACACAAGAAATGATGAAATAAAAATGGGGGTTTTCATTAAGTAATTTTCAATTTTGACCTTAACTCTGACGTTCAGTACAACTTTTAAGGTCAACCAAGATCACCTTCTTTCCCTCTTACAACGAAGCAACTTTTGTAGCATTTTTGTCTTCATTCCTCTCTCTCGTCTCTTTTCGTTCCTCAGCAGCAACTTTTATTGCATCACCTGCTTTTTCTCTTGTCTAACACTGTTGATATATGTCCTATATGTTATTTATTTATATATATACAAATATATATATATATATATTCCGTAGTGTTTTTATCCAACCTCTACTTTATATCAAACTTCAGCAGGTACTTAGGCTTTGTGTAATAACAACAATCTTGTTGGTGCCCTAACTTTTACTTTCGATCTTTTTGTAGTACTCTTTCTTTCACTGTATCTCTTTTTGCAATAGATTAAATTAAATTGACACAATTTTAAACGAATCATGGAGCCGTTTAAATTTTTCGCAATAAATTTAAAATATGAAACATTTTACGAGACGAAAAATATTACCTCCAGCCAGGGTTTCAACCTGGACCAAATTAAAATATGAAATATTTAGACACTAACACCCTCTCACGGCTCTTGGTCCTTTATTCCTTCAAATTTGTGATAAAGAATATTTTATCTGGCACGAAATCCGACTGATTTCATGTTGTAATCGATAGAACTTAAGCTGCAAAAGTCCTCGAAAACTTGTAGATTATCTAATCCCCTGAAAAGGACCACGACCCGTATGGTCGGAACGTCGGAATCAAACAAATAAACCAGCTGCCAGCCTAAAGTCGTGTAACAATTCTTTTTACTGTTAATCATCTACTGGCAATTCACACTCCTTTGTTGTTCTTCAAATTTGTGTTCATCACATTTGAGCCATACGAATTTGACTAATTTGTAAATTAAATTTAAGTTCAAAAGCTCTGAGATATCTCAATGAATTGATTGAAACGAGCAACCCTGTGTATATAAAATAGAATGTCTGTTACCTATACACTCGTAAACCCTTTGACCTATCTGAGACTTACGCAGTTGCTCCGTAGGACCTGCGGAAAATACAGGCTACCATAGGATCTAGACATCCCACCTTTCCCCTTGATTTCATGCTCTGTGATAAACAAGTCCGGGCAACGCCGGGTAGATTAAGGTAGTAAAATATATAATCGACAACACTTTCTGTAATGCATGTATTTTATTGTAAAACGTGGAATCTGTCGTTCTAGAGGATCTAGATAAGACGGGAAAGTTTGAAAAGTATCACCGTGCAACCATTCCGTACCGCCCACTCATTCGTAATCGCAAACAAAGTCCAAGCCGAAGCCGAAGCGTTTGGCTTCGCGAGACGATTGAGCGTAGGCGTGTCTCGAATCTTATTCGTAAAACGGGCCACTATCACCGGCGTACGTTAGCACTTGGAAGATCGACGAGCGATCGATTTGTAAATTGAAGCTTTTCCCCTCGAACGAACAACTGATTGTTGAGCTCGCGTCAACTCCAAATGCATTCTTCGCGATCAGAATCCGCGAAGTCGGAAACACGTCGGGTGGTTACAGCCGGCGCGAAATGCGCGACGAAAGTCTCTTTGCACGGTACCGGGCCCGTGGAAGAGAGAGAGAGTAGCAGAGATTCGCGAGATCGCGAATCAAAATGGAGAAGGGAATGATAATTTAGCGATAATTATTTATGCCCGCGCCATATCGTGCGGCTTTTAACACCGCGGACTGTAACAATCCCGCGAGGGGCCGAAACTCCGGTCGACCCTCGTAATCCCACCTTAAGAATCTCTCGTGGAAGGAGGCGGGGAACGGAGAGTCGAGAGATCTCTCGAGTGCCGGTGGTGCTCGGGCAGCGCGCGAGCGAGATGGAGCAACGGAGAGTGGGATGCTGCGAGCGAAGAAGGCAGGCGAGAGTGGACGGACGGCATGCCACCACCACACCACTCCCATGCACCTCTCTCTCTCTCGCTCCCTCTCTCACCTCTTGTCCGTTCGCTCGCGTTCGTTCTCCTGCGCGTTCAATCCTCTCACCTACTCTTCCGTCTGGCGACTTTTACACGCGCGAGCCGGCTTCCCACCCGTAGCTCTCTGTCTCGTTCTCTCTCCTTCTCCGGTCCCTCTGAGCTCTCTCCCCGCGCGCGCGAGAGAGAATCGCCGCGGAGTTCGTGGAGAGTGCGCGAAATGCCAGTGATTCGACGCGACTTGGAGTACGCGCCTCGACGGCGAGACGAAGCGGACGCCGCGCGAATTCGAACGCGCGGACGCGCGTCGAGCCGCCGCCGTACGCCACGCGAAGCGTGTCCCGAAGCGTGCTCGGTTTGTGCTCGAGTTCTTACAGAGTCTTTCGAAGGAAGAATTTCATTTCATCGAAGCGATCGCGTGGAGTAAATTATCTCGCGTGTCCCGCGGCGCGAGTAAGAGGTTTTTGCTTGCCGATTGAGAGCGAGTAAGGAAGGTGTGTGTGCGTGTGTGTGTGTCCGCGAGTGAGTGTGGCTCCACGGCGGTAAGGATAGTGATTTTAAATGACCGCCAAAGATTTGTGTCCCGATGGAATGTTCCATTCGCCGCAAGTGTTGATCGTTTTAGTAAATATTTGTCAGAACTTTGTGGGAATCTGGTAGTGATAAGTGTGTCAATTTGTATGTTGGACGTGACGGAGCTTCAGTTTTAATATTTCTATTGACTGGGCGAAAGTTAAATTTACCAAAAGCCCGCTTGCGCGAAACATGGATTCCACGTAGGGAATCGCACTCGAATTATCGAGAGATCGCGTGGAGAACGGCAGAGGTGGAGAGGAAAGGGGTGAGACCAACGCCGTAATCGTCCGAGGGCGGAGAAAGTATCTGACGAAGTTTCAAGGTGCTTTCGTGGCGGTTAAAACCAGCGAGCGAAATATTCGAAGGAAACCACAATTGATGAGATAGAGATCGATTACCGACAAAGTAATACCGTGATCTAATTGCGAGAGGGGGGGGAAAAAAACATTCGAGCAGTTTGCCGATAAACGATCACCGTTGATACGTCGATGTTAAACTGGGATGCGAATATAGGTAGATAGGTGTCGGGTACAAAGATATATCGAATGTCGCCTTAACTACCTGGAGTTACCATCGGCTCGAGAGAATCATTTAAATTTAACAGCAACGATTATAATATAGCAAAAATAGTGATTTTCGAAGTCTCGCTTGCGCGTGAGAATAAATCACTTTCTCGATACCGAGTGCATTGACTTGAAAGACGCTCGTGCGATTCGCGCTGAATCTTTTCGTATAGAATGATCATTCCGGTCGAACCGAGGGCACGGAAGAAAAGGGAAGAGGAGGGCAATGAGGAAGAGGGAGGAAGAGCGGCGGTGGTGGTGGTGGCGGCGGCGCAGCAGCAGCAGCAGCAGCACGGCGTCGAAAAAGGAAAGCCACGCTGATCATCCACGACTGGAAGACCTCGGCGTTGCACCTTAGCGCAACGGAGAAGAGGGACGAAAGAGAGAAAGGGAGAGGAAGGACGAAGAGGAAGATACGGATAGCGAAAGGGCAAGGAGGGCAAGAAGAAAAGAGTAACAAAGAGTAAAGGGACTGAGAAGGGGAAGCAGAGAAAGGAAGCGAGGAAGGAAGAAAAAGGAATCCATAAATTCACTTTTGTTTCCACAAATACACCCTTTCGTAAAATCAGGATTACCGAGATTCTTATTGACTCGGCAGACTCCTCCGTAGATTCTCGATCGTGGATGCAGGCTACTTTTACATTCACCCACCCCTTTATTTCTCTTACATAGACCTTTGTGATCCGCGAATACGTCCATTAATCTTCGCACGCGAATGTATTCGATACCACTTAGAGATAGTATAAATCTGTAGCGATTCTACTTCCGCGAGTCGAGGTTGGTCGCGCGCTGCCTCATGAGGCCCCTCACCTTCGAGAATCTGAGAAGGCTCGTGAGCCGCAAGAAGGACCGCAACGAGCCCTCCTTCAAGCGCAGCGAGTCCTTCAAGAGGATTTCTATTAGAAAGAGTTATCTGGACCGGGGTAAACGACGTAATCGTCTCCAGAAGAATCTTGAGCCTGCCGTTAATTCTCCCTCGCAGCCAGCAGCGAACGATAAGGTTGTTTCTCAACAAATTAAGGCGCAAGAATTCAAAAAGGACCAAGAGCGTTCCCTCAGTCGCGATTCCATTACCTACGACGAGTGGCTTCAAGGAGTCAGCTCTTCTTCCCGTGAGAAACTTGACGAGGATCACCTCGAGTCCCTTCAGCATCCGAAAACCAAGGCCACGAAACTCGCCAAACACATCGACGCGGATTCGATCGTCGAGGATCTGAAAATTCTCGAGCTCGACGCCTCGCCCATTTTAACACCCAAATCTAAATCCTTTGGGATCGTTGCGGAGTTAAGTCGAGATGAGACGACGAATGGGCACGATACTCTTTGGACTCAAGAGTCCTCTGCAGAAGGATCGCTCAGTGTCAGCATTAGTCTCGGCAGGGTATGGAGGGACGCGGTGCCGGTTCCCGTTTCGGTCCCGATATCGACTCCTTCCTATTCCTCTGTCTCGAATTCGTCAGTTCATCATTCTCTGGACAGCGCTCTGAAGGAGAAGAAACCGCAGCCGACTGTCGCGAGGACGGTCTCGGCGCCAGAGAAGCCCGTCAGCAAGGAGACCTCCTCGTCGTCGTCTTCCTTTGGCTTCTCTCTTAGGATTGCTAGATTCGCTGATTTCAGACCAGGGTGATTAACTTGTTCGTTAACGATCGATCAGTGAAAATGAGGAAATGATAGAACGTATTTCTTTCATTCATTCATTCATTCGTTTCGGGTTAAAATCTTTGCTTTTGCTCGAAAGTCTTCTATTTATTATAAGTAACTACGATACTCTCGCGAAACTTTACAAGTTTTGATCTCCCGTGGTTTCAAACAATTAAAGAAAATGCAAACGTGATCTGCATTTGACCTGAATTCATGAATGAAAGAAGATAAAAAGACGTTGCTATAATCGATAATTATATTCGTAAAGGTTTATTCTTTGGTCGAATACGTTCATGGCAAGACAAATATCTACATACCGTTCGTGTCTTCGCAGTGAATTTCACTGATCGATCGAGTCGGATATCGCACTGCTCAAGAAACAATTCGATTGCAATCGACACTACTTGGCTCTAGGGTGACGCGAAATGGTCTCTTTCGTCGGAAGACACCAAAGCCATCGCCAAGCGTGAGCACTGAGGGTTACTTCAAACGAACGAGCGCGTCTAGACATTCCAATTCTCGTCGTCGAAGTGGTAAGAGGACTTCTCAGCGCGCCAGCAAGAAGAGTCAGCAATCTGCGGCTCGCACCAGCAGTCCGGTATGGTTCGTCCCGCCCGAGAGACGTCGCTCGAGACGTCAACGACGAGTTTGGCGGGAGATCAGATACTTCCCCGACGACGAGGGTCCGATCCTGGAAAGGATTAACGACTGGTCGTCGAACGTGTCGGACGATCAGTTCGACGACCAGAAGCTGCTGCTATCAGGTGATTTCAATGAGCGTCGGGAAGATGACGCCTTGAACTCGATTGTTTCATCGTCCCTGGGCTCTTTCTCTGCAACGTCGTCCTCGTCATCGGCTTGTCCAGCTCCGAAAATCAGCGACTTTAACGAGGACAAGCTGTTCTCCGAGGAGCTAAGGACCAACGGTCTTCTAGTGCGCGGGGCCACTTGGAAGCTTTCGGCAACGACGACGACGACAGCGACAACGGCAACGACGATGACGACGGTGCCAATTGCGGCGCCGACGAGAACGATCATTTCTGGCAATTATTTCGCCAGCAGTCAGTTTCTCACCTTCCTAGCCAAGGACGTTATCAAGGAAAGGTCGAAACACGAAGGCTCTAACACGGGCTACAGATATCTCTCGTCGACCGACAGTGAGGACGACGATCGCTTCAACGAGCGCAGGAAAAATTTGCCGCAGCAGCGACAGTATTTAAAGAGGCAAAAGTCGGGACTCAGGAGGAGGCCCCTGCGCCGAAAATCGCAATTGAGAAGAGCATCCGGTCAACCGGTATTCCTCGTACGCAAATGCTCATCCTTGAGGAAACGTCCTAGTAAGATCCGAATTACAATTCTATAGGTCCTTTAGGAAACAGCGACGGTAGCAGGAGAATAAGAGCAGAATAAAAATAATTTTTTTCTAAAACATTTTTTCATAAACCTTGCAGTTTCGAAGATATTCATTAAAAAATGGGGGAAAAATCCGTTATTTTCGAGGGGCTGTTTCACCCCCTGAACGTCGAGAAAAGCCGCTAAAAACAACACGGGTCTAATATTTTTTTATGCTCTACAACATATCCGAAGCGCGTGGAAATCGGCGAGGGACACGTCCGACCGTTTTCTTGTTAGAGATCTAGCAATGAGGAAAATACTATAGTGATGTAACCAATGATCGAAGAAAAACTTGCGCGTAAACTTGCCACGCGGATAATAATCTTGTGTACGTGTGAATCCGCAGATTATATTCGATACTTATCGAATAACAGGCGACGCAACTGAATCGCGGCGATTACGGCCGTGCTGAATCTATTTATCCTTTGCTCGCCCGTTACCTCCATCGGCGTCCGACGGCGTTAATTGCGCAACATATTTCCCGCGATCGGTTTCGATGAGCTTCTTGCTCGCGAGCCTGCACGCGTATCGCGATCACGGTGACTCTTACCACAGTTTTCGCTACTTCGAAGCGCTAAATGACCTGTGACGCGTGGAAATTCCTCGTCTTCTTTCACATTCGAATCTTGAAGTAACGAAATATTGGAAATAGATTGTTTAATTGCACGCGTATTTATTTTATTACACGTCTTCAACGCCTGAATATATACAGGGTGAGTCTTTTCATATCCGACAAAATTTTTGAGACGGTAGAACGGATCGAGATGAACGGAAAAGTCCTGTACCATTTTGCAATTTTCGTAATAGTTAACGAGTAATTAATTATTAAAAATCGTTGTCTTAGGCCGGCCTACCGTCCAATTCGAGCGCGTGGCAAGATGTGTCCGCCCGGCGATCGATATTGCTATGCGCACATCTCATCACGCGCTCGAATTGAGCGGTAGGCAGGCCTAAGACAATGATTTTTAATAATTAATTACTCGTTAACTATTACGAAAATTGCAAAATGGTACAGGACTTTTCCATTCATCTCGATCCGTTCTACCTTCTCAAAAATTTTGTCGGATATGGAAAGACTCACCCTGTATAATAAAAATACATAAAATTCAAGCGTAAAGTATACATATACATGTGGCGCGCCAGCACACGCGATTCCCGTTTTGAGTGAGATTTTCTCCGCGGGCAGGCTCGCGTATCAGTTCGCTTTTCCCAAGAAAGTTGTTGCACAGAGACAGATACGAACAAGTTTGACGCATCGACGATGTCATCAAGAATCACTCGAATACGCCGATCAGCATAATCACGATGGCCCGGTTTCGTTTCGCGAACGTGGAAAAATCATGTCTCGGCCGTTAGGATCGATTCTTCGGCGTTTTCTCGAGTTACGAGGCGTGACGAAAGGCGAGTACGCTAACCAGTTTTACATCGTGCTCGGCACATGGGCGAGCTGCATCAGCATTGGCCGCTGGCAGCCGCGCCGGCAGCCAAGCGTGCATCGATCTAAAATTCAATCCTGAAAACGTTCGTTCGATCCCCGCGAATCCTTAATAGCGCGACGTATTCTCCGCGATGCAATCCGATCTTTATGAGCGCGGGCACCCATTTCTGTCCAGTCTTCAAGGTTTACTCGTATCTTCCTCCCTGGTCTAATTGTAACTACCATTTTTTAATATCTTTATTCAAATGCTTCGTTATTATATCGCGAACATGGCGGGGACAACGACAGAAGAGAACATATGTTTCTCGAGAGCAATTCGATAAGCTGCTCCAGTGTCACACGCCGTAACAACGATTTCGGTCCGCTCGCGATTTTGGATTAATTACTCGCGTGACGAGCCGAGGCATAATATTGAATTGATTGTGTAAATTATCTCTTGGATTTGATGATTAAATAAGCCGTTTTTCCCCTGTTGCAGGAGATATTACGCAGAAGGGTTATGAAAAGAAACGGACGCGTCTACTTCAGCAATACGCTTCGAAGCAGATAGGTGAGTGTTTCGCTTTTCTAGAATTCATTAAGACTCCCGCAAGTAGAGGCAGCGAGAGATATCATCGCGCATTATTCGCGATATGCGGTACGGAGCGGACGAGGAGTCAGCGATGTGAAAATATTATTATCGCCCCACATGTTTAGTCACATATTCGATCGATCCCGCATAGAGAGAGAGAGAGACCTGTACGTCGATCGTACGGTACATCGCACGTTTCAAAAGCGAGACTTTTAGACGACTCGATTACGCATTTCGACACGCGAGTGAAATTTCTTTTTAAATTCCTTGGTGAAGCTTGCATTAATTGTATCGTTACGTTTGTCTATGAAAGAAAGAAAAGAAAAATTTTCCACTCCACAACCAGGCGATACTTTTTTTTTCAAATGGAAAAACGATCGCCAGTTTTTAACTCTCGAGTCTTATCTCTCGTCGCATCTTGGTGTGTGTGCAATGTTGCGCCATCGGGACGCAACAAGCTCGCAATATCAATCGCGTTCCGATTCTCAAGAGACACGCGCCTCATTGTGCGCACAATGGCAAATGCAATCCGTATAAAAAGGAAGGGACGAGACGCAATCCTCGTGGCACGCGTCACTTTAACACTCGGCACCTTGCAACTGCAACGTATGTACAACTGCTGCCGGTCTTGCGCCACGCGAGACGCGGCGGGTCGGGAGAAAATGGAGAGAAAATTGCGATGAAACAAGAAGGATGCGATTTTACTTCCGTTCACTTTACGCTTGCCATTTCAAATGGGATTATTTCGAGCTCTAGGAAAATCGTACGAGAGCGAGTCGCGACGTCGATCAATTGCGTTTCCGCATCGCTTATCGCGGGCGCAAAGTGTAACGCGAGTCACCAACCGTTTACCGCAACTGTCGCGACTGCAGGACTTGGTCTTATCGTCACACAAATTGCCGGAGACGGAACTGTCCGGACGTTACCACGCGTCATTTGCTGGTCCGCGCAGGCTGCATTCCGCGGACCCAGCAATACATAGCAATACTCTCGATACGCCCCGTTACCTGTCGGTTTAACCCTTTCGCGGTCAGATATTTCTCATTTTTAACAGTTTAGAACCAAGCGCGGCTAAATATTTCTGCTAGCTCAAGTTGTTTCAATTCCCATCGCGTAGTGTTTTCTTAGAACGAATCAATAGTTTTTTCGCAGGGTTGGGTAAGTTATCCTTTTTTTTTTAACTAAGTTAAGTTAAAGTTAACAGCCTTGAAAATTTAACTTGGTTAAGATACAAGTTAATTTAACACAATTGATTGAATTAAAAGTTAAGTTAATAATAAAAAAAAAGTTAAAAGTTAAATGTTTTATTTTTACATAAAATCTCGTAAATTGCATTGAATTTCGCGACTAGCGTTTGAACTCACTCGCACTACACGGAATATAACTCATTTCATATGCAAACAATCTCACGTAAAGAAAAAGAAAATCTATTTGAACTTGTCAGAGAATAACTCTCGATGACAGTGGTCTTTTAAACGTCTTATGTTATTTGTATAATCAGGTAAAAAAATTCAATGTGTTCCTTTGCGCAATATTTTATATTAATGCATATTTGCAAGTTGTGACTATCGTGTATTATTTTTTGATCCCAGCTTCACTGAGGATGACCCGAAAATGGGTCGAAACGTTTGAATATTTCAATAAATGGAATAAATATTTCCACATTGGATAATTTCGCACGGACACCTGCGGTTGGCTCGCATTGGCCCTTTCTCCCTCCTACTCGTTATTTTATTTTATTGAGAGCCGTTACTACGATTTGGATAATTTCACGTGAGTTCGAGACTCGAAGCCCCATATAATTGCCGTGTACCAAAATTCATTGGTTTTTTCCACCCCCTGGGTTTTTTTTTCCGGCCAACCCTGGTTACAAGAGTACGGCGAACCGAAAACGACGGTAGCATTTTCGATAGCATTTCTCTGACATCAAACTAGTGGAAAGTAATGAAGGAATAGCCGATTTGTTGAAATTTCCAAAGTCCAATATAATCCCATGAATATACAGATCTGAATAGAAACGTTGCCGTCGTTGCCTGTCGCCGTGGCATCTCCCTCGCGTCGGGGCAAAATCTCGAGTTGGAATTAACGATTAGGCAACGTATAACATTTGAGAAACTCGTACGTGTCCGTGGAGCCACCCCGTATAGTTACACGGACGCGCCTTTGCGCCCGCAGCTGCGATCGGTAGAACCACCGCAATCGGCTTGCAGTTTAACTGTACCTGCACACGGAAGAAGCGCTTCCGCGTTATCCGCTCGTTATATGCTACGTGCATCTGCCATTGTCGTGGACGCGAGTCGAACTCGAGCGACAGTTTTCTATGGCCAAGTCGACTAACGGGAAGTTGTTTTACATACGAATTCCTCGTGTGATTCAGCCGAAACCTCGTGATTAATTTCGAAGATAAAGCGAGTCGTTATGAGACAACATTGCACCGCCAAGTGACGCATGTCCGCCCGAGAGTCATTTAAAGCCGCGTCGCTTTCGCAATTTTTGATAACGACGACAATATCATTCTTTCAATTGTAGTATAAAAAGTTTTTGAGTAACTGAGATAAGGCGATGGGAAATACGGGTTATTTAAGAATCGAAAGGCACACCGTGCATATGCGCTTGTGTGGGTCGTAGGGGCTGGAAATGGTGGTATTGGTGGTGGCGGTGGCGGTGGTGGCGGTGACAGCGTCGGCGGAGGCGTCGTTGGTAGAGGGCTGGAGAGAACGGGTTACGGAAGCGGAGGAGGTGGCGGTGGCGGTGAAGGAGGAGGTGGCGGAGGCTACGGTGGCGGCGGCCGACCGCAGCCACGTGCACGACGCACGCAACGGCGCGTCACGCACAACGAGAAGCGCTATCACTCAGGTAGCACCACGCACTACGTAGCTCACGCACGAGGGTATCTCCGAGTCGCGGCGAGCGTACTTTAGCGCGCGCAACGCATTATTCATTGTGTGTCGCAACTCTGCTTAACATTTCAGCTTTTAGCTTTCTGTCCTCCCGACGAATCGTAGAGAGTTGTCTCATAGAGTTCCTTTCCGATTAGATTAGAAGACGTAGAATTCGATCATTTACAGAGGACTTTCTTTAAGCACTGTGCGTTTCGTACTTTTGTCTTTGTATGCACGCGCACACACGTGTTACACACACACACACGCACACACACACGACATGAATGACACCATTTTAGCCACGAGAATGATGCGAGTTTCCTCCCCCTCACCCCCTTGACGACGACGAAACGTCCCTCGCCCACGATCTCATCGTGTTTTAATCTGCGCCGTTTCCGCATCCAGATCTTTGTGAAAGTAGATGTGAATCCCTTCGGAATGGTTACACTCCCATTTTCCGCACACCATGGAAAATTGTTAAAAGCAAACGAGTTTCATCCGCCGCTTGCACTTCTCTCTTCTCCTCGTGTAGCTTTGCCTGCTTACTCCCTGTCTCTCGCGTGTGTTGCCTCGAGACGCTTTTGCACCTTTAGATACCTTTGTAATTTGACATAGCCAGGCGGTAGCCGAGACCGGTTGTTCCACCTTCGGGTGACTCAAGATTGCAGCCAGCCAGCCGGCCGGCCTGCCATCCATCGGCATTCTCACTATTCAACCGACTGCGTCGTGTTATCCGCGAGCGTGCAACATTTCCATTTTTTCACGCGTCCTTGTCGATAGAGATTCCTCGCATAGATCGCATAGATCACTGAGCTCGCGCACCGCGGATCTACGTTACGCATTTTGCGACAGGGATCTTCGCTGAAGGGACGTCGCGGCACCTCGCGCTAATACGAGAGACTCCCGATGTCGATCTCGACGTAGAGTTCGACGTTCTTGACTTCGAAAGATTTTTTTTTTATTGTTTCAAAAAATTTAGTTCTACGTGAGACGCGACCCGACCGAGTCCGATATCGCGCGTTCGATATGTAGTGCGTGGTAAATTCCTATACAATAGGATGATTCGTATGATCTCTTCTGAAATTACCCGGTGATTATTCCAACTGAATCACGCCAACGACCAGCCCTCCTCCTCCTCCGACCTTCCTGTGTCGAGCCACGGGCGATCGATACGAGTCACATTCACGAGACGCAGCATCCGATGGTGGAATGACCAGCCGTCAATGGCGCAATTAGACCGCAAGTTTATCCCTCGCATCCGGATAAATAACGCTCTACCACGGCACGTAAATCGCGGAGAATCCGGCGGGTCTTCGCAAGGGCTAGCACTTAACCGCTTGGAACCTACATATTTTCTACAACTGCAAAGACCCAAGGATCTCTGATTCCTAGCTTCGACCTTAAGGACGGATCTGCGGAGTCTCGATTCCTGGGATCGTTAATGTAAAACAGTTGGACTTGTTTTCTTCCAACGCTTTTTCGCTGGGGGTCTAGAAACTCGCTGGGGGCTGACTCGCGCGATTAATGGCATAGCAAAGTAGATAGAGAATGTACTAACTCCAAGTGGTTGATGTCGATATTCGAGTGTTGGTTTATTCGACGATACCGAAGGAGGGCGAACTTTACGGGACGACAACTCTCGCATCGAGCCAAGCCAAGCCAAGTCAAGCCAACCTCTCGTAGCGTCCCTTCTTTGTCTATGTGCCGTTGTTGTTGTTGTGTTGCATGCAGGCGGTCGACTAGCGCCCGGAGGAATTGCCAGTCCCCCGGGTTCTGGCGGCTCCACAGGGAACACCGGGAACTCGAACTCGGCTGCTGCAGCGGCGGCAGCGGCGGCGGCGGCGGCAGCTAGACGCGGTAATCGCAGACTCACACGCAATGAAAGCCGTTACCATTCCGGTGAGTACACCTCTGGCACTAGATATGCAGGGTCCATTCGGGTAGCAACAGTGGACGTTGCTGTGCTTTTAGCTCCTTTTCTACCGCAGTGTTCGAAAATTATTCAAACTGCCTCAACGTTATACAACAAACACACCTTCCTTCCCGTGGAATTACGTACGATGAATGTTAAGGGGAATAATGAGGAGACTGGAAAGAAGTCGTATCTATAAAAATTGGTTTAACAGTGTTGCATGAGAAACCGACCCGCATTTTATCAGTCTTTTTATCTCCCATGTGTTATTGAACAAAGAGCCTATTATCGTGTTAAAGTGTGAATCGCATCACCTATCGATCTCGTTTAGTACGGTTGCATTCGTTTAGCTACTCTTAGCTGCTCTTTGAATAAAATTCACCGAGCTTAAATGCCTTGCTCCGCATTTACCCCCTACGCTTCCTTTCCGAATGAAATGTCATTCCACATGACCGGGAGAAAAACTCGCTTCGTTCAAAAGCGTCGATAGAAAGAGCTTCACTTATCTTAATACAAAATGCAGGTAATCTTCCACCTGGTGCACCGTTACCAGCCGATGTCGACGGAGCGTATCTCGTAGAAGATAAGCCGATTCAGGAACTCGCGTCGATGGCGTCGCGCACAAGGCGTCCCATACGGAAAGTGTCACCCCCTTTAGAAGCGAACTTGAAAGAAAACCGTAGCTAGCGATTGTCAAACAGCAATGACGAATTTTTTGTTCTGTTAACAGTGTAAATGTCAATTTTAATTTGCGCCTCCCAATATCTTTACATTGAGACTTTACGGTTTTCTCTGCGAAATTCTTGCCGAAATTATTGTAATTATATGACGACAATGTTACGACTAAGGAGCTGGGTATGTGTGGGACACCCTGTACGCGCCGACGTACATGATGTGAGTGCAACCTGTAACGAGCCGCGTCCCGGTGTTGCATGATGTCGTAATAACGACATGGGCATGCCTCACCCGGAAATATTGTGTATGGCATCGCGGCCGACTCAGTGACCGAATGTTACCTGCGTTATACTGCAGTTTACGCGCGGCGGCATCGGCCGCGCTGAATCTATCGCACCTATCGCAACCGGAAAACGTTATTCCATTTTAATCGCGAGTCTTGGCGTAAGAAAGGCTGTGAACGCGAGGAATCCAAGCTGACTGAGGATCCGTTCAGTTTTACCCCGTAACGGCAACTATATTTTACTTCAAATTAAAGGGAACACGTTGGATCTTTTAGTATTCGCATTTGAGTGTAAAAATAGTGTTATTTCACGCGTCATTTCGCAAGGCAAGTTTACACGGTGTTGTCTGTTAATAAAATATCCAGACTAGCTTTATATCTATGACTTCTCGACGGGTCTCGGTGACGACGAACAATACACGGAAAGACCGGCTGAGGCAAAAATAACTAAAATTAAAATGTTGCCGTATAAATAGTAGGGGCATCCACGTTATTTTGTGTTGCAACATTCACCAAGTGTGCTGCACAAAACGCATGTAGTTGTCTCCACTACTTATGACAACCACAGATATAGCTGTCCCAAATATTACTATTTATTGGGGCTGTGCCAAGCCTAATTAGACACGTGGTAACCATATCGGTCTCTCCGCGTACCTTTCCTTTTCGCGACACGGTATGTACCTTTTCACTAAAATGAATCCTTGTGGACAAAGGCAATTATAGGTAATTAGTGTTCATTGTGTCGACTGAAAAAATGCGCTCGAAACGGAAACGAATTGAGATGAACGAAATATAGTCTGCACACACACACACACACACACATCACAGCATGCAAAAGAGATTCATTTCATCTCGACGTGTGTGTGTTTGTACCGCTAGAAAAAAATTACATGTCATAGTGTCGTATTGCAACAGTGTCTACTCAATAATTTTAATTTAACTGTTTAATCTTTCCGAGCCTGTGCGTCTCTTATCCCGCAAATCCTTCCATAGACACACAACACTCACACGCACACGCATCTTCGAGAGCATTACGCTGAATCGTCAGCGAGACGAAAAAAAAATGTACGACGCGCAATACGCATGAATACGTACGTATAAATAGTGTTGGGAGATGATGAACGGATGACGATGCGGAAGTAAGACCATCAGGTGTCTGCACGTCATCCGTCCTCGTTGTCCATGTGAGTAATCAATTCTTACGTGTTTAGAGGTGCGCCAGGAGGCGGTGCAGCAAGCCTTGGCGGCGATGCAGGGACGGCCGAAGCCATCCTTGCCAATGCCGTCCAAAAGAACCTCCGTGATGGCTAGAAGCCCCGATCGGGAGAGACGCGACAGCGGCGAATCCAGCAGCGACGAGGACAGCGTCGTCACCGAGGAGAGTCCAGGCGCGGGTGGTCCAACCGGTAAAATTATCATCGCCGTCACATGCAGTGACAAAATAATAAAACATTCCTGATGACTGTTTTTAGAGCGGATCAATTGAATCATATGAAGCGAATGTAAAATAGATCGGGAATTATTTCTATAAATATTCGTTGAATAAGACTAGTAAATGGAATAGAGCGGATGGTCGGCGTGTGTCGCGTAATACGGCTTGTCCATCTGTTCTGCACCCACATATGTCGAAAGAAAAAAAAAAGAATATAAGGAAACGCGTCGCGTACGGTTCAAGCGCCATGTGACTCCGCTAAATGCCTGGCATCGCGCGTCCTTGACTGTTTCCGCCGGACGACACGCCAATAATCAATACGCATTATTTTTTCTCCATGCGTACAAGTGGAAAAAGTGGTTGAACCGAGCGCTGAAACGTGGAAAAAAAACTTGCGTACGCGTGACATAATAATCGCACGAAAACAAGTTGCTCGTTGTTTGTAATAAGTTATTGTCGGCGTTGGTAGGCACCGGTCTTTCGGATACCAGCAGTACCGGTTCCGCTCGCGACACTCCACCGCCGCCCAGACCACCGGCCAGGAGGCCGCCTGGCGCGGACATCACCGACATCGCCGAGTACACGCCACACGCCTATTGCAACATTCAACCACCGGATGTTACCCATGTGACGAGCAGTACTCCGGTCGGACAACAGCAATCGGCGACGCGGCGACCTGGCGCCGACCGGGTGAACCGTTACGCGCATGTGGTCGAGGATCAGAATAGCACTGGCACCACCGGTCGCTGGAAGGTCTCCGCAAAGATCCAGCAGCTATTAAACACGTTGAAACGGCCGAAGCGTCGGCCGCTACCAGAGTTTTACGAGGACGACGACATCGAGCTGGAGATCGCGGCGAATCCGAAGGATCCAAATGCTCCCAAACCCGAAGGCGGTTCCATGACGTCGGCGGTGGGCGAGGCGCTATCGGTGCCGTCGGGTTTACCGCGATCTCTCGAGGCCGCCATTCAGAGGTGAGTTATCGACGAGCCAAGGATGCCCGCGTTCCACAGTTCCATCGATTCAAAACTGCGAGCGGATACTCGCGTACACAGCGATTTGTGTAATCGTCTTTTTTTTCCTTTCTTTACATTCAGGTACGGCTCGGCGACGTACAAAGCACCAGTGGCCACCGTTCTGGATCCTAATGGCAAGCTTTGCGTAACGCTCACGTATGGGAAATTGCTCAGTCGCTCTCACAAGATTGCCTATACCCTTCTGAATAAGGCTCTAAGTCGTAGCGGAGATTGCTGCCTGAAACCTGGCGACAGGATCGCCCTGGTTTATCCGAACAACGATCCGATCAGCTTCATGTGCGCCTTTTACGGCTGTCTTCAGGCTGGTATCGTGCCGGTGCCCATTGAAGTACCTCTGACCCGTCGTGACGCGGGTTCGCAACAGATCGGTTTTCTCTTAGGAAGCTGTGGAATTCAGGTAAGCGGAGCACCATCTCTTGCCTTATCCGCCAAACAACATTCCATTCTACATTTGCATGCTGAATTAGCCGTGCAATCTTGCAATTTGCATTACAATTTGCATTAATGTACGTGACAGTTCACTCGCGACCTTAGACAGGCGTATCAGCAACGTATCTATATATCTTAATGTCTTCAGGTGGCGTTGACTAGCGAAGCGTGTCTGAAAGGTCTACCGAAGACGGCAGCCGGCGAAGTGGTAACCTTCAAGGGCTGGCCAAAACTGCAGTGGTTTGTTACCGAGCATCTAGGCAAAACGCCCAAGGATTGGTTGCCACCACCGCGACTTACCGATGATACGCCCGCGTATATCGAATACACCACCGACAAGGATGGCTCTGTGATGGGCGTGACCATTACCAGGGCAGCGATGATGTCCCACTGTCGCGCTCTTACACAGGCCTGCGGTTACACTGAAGGCGAGAATGCTGTCTGCGTGCTAGACTTTAAGCGGGAAGTCGGCCTCTGGCACAGCACTTTGACCAGCGTGCTAAACGGCATGCACGTCATTTTCATCCCTTACGCTCTGATGAAGGTCAATCCCGCTAGTTGGATGCAGATGATCACGAAACATCGCGCCAGCGTCGCGGTTGTAAAATCGCGGGATCTTCACTGGGGTTTATTAGCGACTAAGGATCACAAGGACGTCTCTCTGGCGTCATTGAGGCTGCTACTCGTTGCAGATGGCGCAAATCCCTGGTCTCTCTCATCCTGTGATCAGTTTCTCTCGGTGTTCCAGTCCAAAGGACTCAGGCCGGATGCTGTCTGTCCTTGCGCTTCCTCGAGCGAGGCCTTCACAGTTTCTGTGAGAAGGCCAGGACGCGCAGGAGTGAATGCGACTGGTCGTGGAGTTCTCTCCATGTCCGGACTGAGTTATGGTGTTGTCAGAGTAGATCAGGAGAATTCTCTTACATCGTTGACGTTGCAGGATTGTGGACAAGTCATGCCTGGAAGTGAGTCTTTTTGCAAATTGCTTTTACATCGTAACACAGCTTAACGACTCAATTCTAATTTATCTATGCATTTTTTACAGGTATAGTAGTCGTCATTAAGATGGAAGGACAGCCATTTATTTGTAAGACGGACGAAGTGGGTGAAATTTGTGTGCACAGTGCAGCGACCGGTAGCCAATATTGGGGTTTGCAAGGTCTCACCAATAATACCTTCAAGGTGTCGCCCCAACAACTCGACGGTACTGCTTTGGGTGATGTAGAATACACGCGTTCCGGCTTGTTGGGTTTCCTCGGCCCTGGTGGACTCGTGTTTGTTTGCGGATCGCGGGACGGTCTCATGACGGTGACTGGCAGGAAACACAATGCCGACGATATTATCGCTACTGTATTGGCGGTCGAACCAATGAAATTTATTTACCGCGGTAGAATCGCCGTTTTTAGCGTGAGAGTCCTGAGGGATGAAAGGATATGCGTCGTTGCCGAACAACGGCCTGATTGCAGTGAGGAAGAGGTGCGTTTGTATAAAGAATTAAATGATATTTAAAGAAAGAGGTGAAAAGACTTGTTTAAAGAACATAGTAATATCTGTAGAAACAAATATTTCTATGTTAGAAACATTTCTCGCCATTTTATACAGAGCTTCCAGTGGATGTCTCGGGTGCTGCAAGCTGTCGACTCGATCCATGCAGTAGGAATATATTGTCTTGCCTTGGTACCACCCAACTATTTGCCCAAAACGCCGCTGGGCGGTATTCATCTCTCGGAAACGAAACGCCGTTTCCTCGAGGGTGCTCTTCATCCAGCTAATGTGCTCCTCTGCCCTCACACATGTGTCACCAATTTGCCAAAACCGCGCGAAATTCATTCAGGTAAGTGAGGCAAAGTCTATCGGCAGGTATAGCGTCGATATCTTTCGGGACTGACAGGTATCGACGTAAACCTGAATAGTGAGAATTATGCGGACGCGCCAGTAAGCATTTTTTTTAATGCCCGAAATTTTCTCACATCTATATTTGCGAAATAGAATTTTTATAAAGGATGTAAATATTGATGTAAAATATGTGTGTAGAAAATATAAAAATTGTATCCAACTTCAAAATTAAACAATCAGATAAATATATCAACGTTTAATGTGGATACAAGTTATATATACAGAATAATATGCGATAAATTTTTTAAATCGTATTGTGTATGTGATTTTATTGAAGGTGATAGAGGAGGGGAAAAATTAATCAAAAGATAAAAAATATGCGCACGCGCGCGTGTGTATATATGTGTCTGTGTGTATGTGCGTGAAAGTGAAGGAAGAGGAGTAGCAAGAAATAAAAAAAAATGAATTGATAACTACGAACTTTACTCTTTCTAGAATTTTATTTGTACAGCACTAAGAAATTTCATACATCTATATAAAATTGTCGGTAGGCCTCAGAAATCTAGCACACACTTGCATGGTATAATGTTTTTACACACATATATGTACCGGTATTTAAAAGTAGATGTACAAGTCACGCTGGAAAGAATTTTTCCATCTGTCTACTTATAATATTTCTTCAAGCAAATGAGTATTTAAAGTATTAGCTAAATAACTTGAAATATTGACTAAATTTCTCACAAAAGCAATTTTTTTTAATGATTAAATGCAAATGTACAGCTTTTTAACATATTATATGGGGTGGGTGATAAACATTACGTTGTATCATGTTGGGAAATTTTGGGGATTTATTGTAAAATACCGAAATTACATAGAAACATAAAGCTATCACACACCTTGTATTTAATTAACAGTTCTTACGCAGTTAATTATATGCTTAGCATGTTGTTCCATTTAGTTATCCTTCTTTCTTTTGGCTGAGTTTCGAATACCCCCTGTAGTATCCTAATCAAGTGCAAACATAATTGATTTAGCAAGAGCTTCTGTCTTTTTACTGAAACTATTTTATCGTTGGAGAAAATATTTTCCATATTTTTTTAGCTTCTTGCATTCAGTGCTTTTCTGTATGTCCTTTTTTTAATTTCACGTTGATACTCTGCACAAGCCTAGACTGTATGATTCATTGAAAAAAAGATGTTTGGAAATTCAAGCATCCATGGCTCCAAAGATTCGTGAATACGGGTTAAAGCGTGTAGACCTGTGGAGCGGAAGACCCATGAACGCTTGTATTGTTGGCTCCGATGGCGAAAACCAGATTGCTCTAGCTTTGATTTTTCCGGCCTCAGTCAGGAGAGAGTGTGTGAGCTACTCATTATTGGGTTGAGTGTTTGTGTTGGTTTACTAACGGAATGGTGCGGGGGCGTGTAGCGGGGGATTCTGTTGCAGATGTCGGTCCAGCCAGTGTTATGGTAGGGAACATTGTCCAGGGCAACCGGTTAGCCTCTGCGCAAGGACGAGATATGGGTGTCCTAGACGAGGATAGTGATAATGCCAAAAAGGTTCGTAAGAAGGTTCAATGTGACTAAATGAGAATCTGTCTGTACATATATTACATTGTCGTTCATCTTTCAGTACCAATTTATCTCTGAAATTCTACGGTGGCGCGCTGTCAGTACTTCGGATCATGTGATATTTACGTCGTTAAACGCGAAGGGCACCGTCGCTACCTCATTGTCCTGCTCGCAGTTGCACAAGAAGGCCGAGAGGATCGGGAATCTACTCTTGGATCGAGGAAGGATCAACACCGGGGACCATGTAGCACTCATTTTCCCACCTGGTACCGATCTGATATGCGCGTTTTACGGTTGTTTGTACGTTGGTGCTGTGCCAGTAACTATCAGGCCACCTCATCCACAAAATCTCCAAACGACCTTGCCGACTGTTCGCATGATTGTGGACGTCAGCAAATCCGTCCTCGTGTTGACTAACCAGAATCTCCTCAAGTTGTTAAAAACGAAGGTAATTGATAGCGTTAGATCGTATTGTCGACTGGAAAGCAACGAAGATGTACCCTCGATTGATATTGTTTCGCATAGGAGGCGAACAACGTGGTCGACGTAAAGAGTTGGCCGATGATCTTAGATATGGACGACATGCCAAAGAAGAAGCTGCCGGTGATGTATCGAGCGCCTACCGCTGAGATGTTGGCCTATCTGGACTTCAGTGTTTCGACAACGGGCATGCTCGCTGGCATCAAGATGTCTCACGCGGCGGTCACCTCGCTGTGCCGTGCCATGAAGTTGGCGTGCGAGCTGTATCCCTCCAGGCACATTGCTCTCTGTCTGGATCCGTACTCGGGCCTCGGTTTTGCCTTATGGTGTCTTAGCAGTATATATAGTGGACATCATTCCATACTGATACCACCATCTGAGGTAAGTGTCGCCGTCGTAATTCTTGTGCTCAGCGAAAAGATTTAATTTGATCGTTTTGTCATCATTACTAGGTGGAAGCCAATCCCGGACTCTGGTTGTCGGCGGTCAGTCAATTCAGAGTGAGAGACACGTTTTGCTCGTACGGCGTTATGGAGTTGTGCACTAAGGGACTCGGCTCCTCGGTTAACGCGCTCAAGGCGCGAGGCGTTAGCTTGGCTTGCGTGAGAACGTGTGTTGTCGTCGCCGAGGAAAGGCCACGGATAGCGTTAACGACGAGTTTTAGCAAGCTGTTTTCCGCACTCGGGCTGAGTCCGCGCGCAGTCTCCACCTCATTTGGCTGCAGAGTAAACACTGCCATTTGCTTACAGGTAAAATCGATTGTCGGGATTAACAGTTTTGATGGCGATCCTGGAGATCTCTTTTCTTATATATCGTTATTTTCTTGATTCCGTTCCATAGGGAGCATCCAGTCCGGAGCCTTCAACAGTCTATGTGGACCTTCGTGCGTTACGTAACGACCGAGTGTCATTGGTGGAACGAGGTAGTCCGCATTCTCTGTGCTTGATGGAATCGGGCAAACTACTGCCCGGCGTGAAGGTAATCATCGCAAATCCCGAAACCAAGGGTCAATGCGGCGACTCGCATCTAGGCGAGATCTGGGTACAGTCGTCGCACAATGCGAGCGGTTACTTCACGATCTATGGCGACGAGAGCGATTACGCTGATCATTTCAATGCGCGGTTGGTTACGGGCAATACAAGCGAGGTCTATGCGAGGACCGGTTATCTTGGCTTCCTGAGAAGGACCGAGAGTGTTCAGCAGTCGGTGATCAGCGACGTGCCTGGTGATACTAACAATGTGCCCGAGGCTGATCTTGTGCCGAGTGATCCGGAACTTCACGACGCCGTATTCGTCGTCGGCGCTCTCGACGAGGCCATCCTACTGCGAGGTATGCGTTACCATCCGATAGACATCGAGAACAGTGTTATGCGGTGTCACAAGAAAATCGCAGAATGGTAAGTCTTTTTAAATTCTAATCCACTATTGAATATTTTCTTACTCTGTTGACAATATTGGCAATATACAATTGCAAACCTATTCCCTTGCTGTTACTTTTTGTATTAATCGAACGTTGTTGCATTTTTCTTTCCAGCGCTGTGTTCACATGGACCAATCTTCTAGTGGTAGTGGTAGAATTGGACGGTAGCGAAAGTGAGGCCCTCGATCTTGTGGCTTTGGTGACGAGCGCTGTGCTTGAGGAACACCATTTGGTGGTCGGCGTGGTAGTTGTAGTGGACCCCGGTGTGGTACCCATTAATTCACGCGGTGAGAAACAACGGATGCACTTGCGCGACGGCTTTCTCGCGGACCAGCTCGATCCTATCTACGTGGCGTACAATATGTGAACGAGTGTGCGAGAGAAAGTTCTCACCCTCTCCGTATTCCGCCCTCCCGATCGCCGACAATTCTTATTCGATGTGTTGAGACTGCAGTGGAACTTCATTCACAAGGACGATTCACGCCAAATATAACGATGGAACAAACGACTTTAGTAAATGTTCTAGGTTTCATCTGTTTTACTTGATTTTTTTTATAGGAGTTTTATCGAACCATAAATACTGCTTTAAAGTTTCCAAATTCGGAATCGGTGGATTTCATTATCAGATTTATAAGTCTACAAACTTTTAAATCCTTTTTCACAGATCTTTAGCCAATGAAATACGCACTTACCGGCATCCGTTTAATCTGTGTACAAGATTTGTTATTGGAACAAAAAAATGGAGTAAAAGATAAACGAGCGGAAGTATCGTGAGAGATGAAGTTCTACTGTATGTATCGAAGAATGTTAACGCACCCCAGCAAATATTACTGGTAAAAGGTACGTATGTACAAAGTTGAAACTTTTTTAAAATTCGACTGCCACAAATCCTTGGAACTGATTAAATCGAAAAATCAGTATTACATTACATATGTTATATACAAATAAAAATCGGCGACAAATTATACAGTCGACGATAAATCGTAAATCATCAGCTGGGCATAAACCTCTCCCGAGATTACCTTCAATAGACATATTTTCGGGATCGCAGTTCACCAACGTTCCGATATCCAGCAGAATTCGACACGAAATATTCATTGCATCTTTCGATTGTTGAAGGTTTTTTTATTCATTTCTATAATGATAAAAATTGATCAATGGTCAATTTAATTTCGCTGCATTCAATCCTTGTATTTGCGAAATAAAGGATGCATGAAAATTTCGACAGTATTAAGCGACACGCACAAAACCACAGTTTTATATTTACAATTTAAGCCAAAGTCTATGTACACGTTGTATCGTAGCACGCGCAAACATGCCGATGTATTCTTACATTGGTTACAACTTCGCCGTGTGAAAAACAGCCCCTCTCGTTGACGGGAGCAACGAAAGATTTCGTCGCAAAGACGATTTGACAATATTCGTTTACAATAATCCTTTTATGATTGTTAGTCGTACGTGTTTTTAAGATTAAGTAGCAGTCGAATGTAATACTTATTCAGAATCTTGGTTCTCCCAATTTCGTCCGCACAAACGAATATGATAACGTAACTAGCTCGAGCTCGCGTACAAGGATGTAGATACTTTGTGTAATATCGACTTTAGGGCTGTCATTTGTTTTCTTCTCCATTTTAATCTTTTGTCGAAAAATCGGAAACGTTAATCAGACAGCATGGCCTACTACTTAGACATAAAGATAAGATTAGAGGTGGTTTTGGTGAAAAGGGAAATAATATAATGGAAAATTTATCACAAGGAAAACTTGATATCGACATTTTGTACAAAAATATTCAAACAATTTTATACACAGACTGATTAAACTCTTACGATAAAGCAAGAGAGTAAACTAGTGTAAAGGAGGGAGAGAGAGAGAGATTTCTCTCTCTTTCTTTTTCTTTTCAATCTAAAAACTTTGTCTAAAAACTCTGTCTATAAAAGTGAGACGTCAAGCCCAGAAGTCGATCGCGATTGATTTTTCTTACGAGTTTCTTTACTCGTGGATCTTTTTTATGGATATATACAATTGTTGATAGCTCTTTAATTTAATATCTTTTAAACATATGACATGGTATGGTGTACACAGCAGATAATTGCATATTGTTGTGATTATTATGAGACATCGCGATTAAAATATGTATTTGCACTTAAAGGACATTAATTGTTGCGAATATTACCTTATTAGAAAAACATCATTTTTATTAGCGATATCAATTCTTTATAAATGTTTCCGTTTTTCCATTTTTATAATCGTGTTGTTTGTTTCCTCTTTCCATTTTGAACTCGATCGAATTTAATTCACGCCAAGGAAATAGGCTTTGGAGAAAGGAAGAATAATTCTGCATTAATGCAACGTCAACGTATATTTAAGAAAATTTGACGTCTGTGAGCTACTTACGACATTTACGTGAAAATGTGATTGAGCGTCCGCTAACAATCGCAAGTATTTATCGGCGACAATTTCGTCAGTGCAATATACACACATGGCATAGTGATTTATAAGCGCTTGCGGAATATGATAACTAACTCGTATCGAACTCTTGATGGCTGTACACAGGCGGCTTTGTGTAAATACGTAATATGAAAAAGAGACGTCTCTCTCTTCCCGCATGCTTCCCTGTTTTGCGAGCTGTTTTACTTTTCCTCTTTCTCGTTAATTTGTTTTTTTTTTATATTTCTTTCCTGTCTTTTCGTTGTTGAACCACAGTGCCATGTTGCCTTGCGTTACTTCCACACTTTTACGCACGGAAAAATGCATATCCGTAAATAGCCGCATTTGCACAGGCTCGATTGCACTGATTAACCGTCACTAGAGTTTTGTATCCTTTTTTTAATTCTAATTTATTACAACTACGTGTTATCGTTATAATCGTAATATAAACGAAGAAAAATACAATTTTAATAGCACAGCTATTCATCTTATTGTTAGTCAACTATTTAATCACATAACTGATCTCATCTTGCCCTTAATCGGGTCACGATTTCTTACATACCCAGTGTACAGATGATTCCTGTCTAATCCTATTAGAAATTTGTAAATATTCTTAGCAAGTTTTTTTAAAAGCTAATAAGTAAATTAGCCGTGTGTGATCAATTGACAAGTATAATTGGCGTAATAACAAGACGAATTTTTAACCGGATCACAAATGTGAATTAAATAACTAAAATTTGTTCTTTACTTATTATAGCACAAAAAAGGGTAGAGTCTTTTTATAGAATTTAATTCCAGCCGTATAAATTTCGAATTTTATAATGCAAATGCGTCATAGCGTTACCTCGAAATTCACCTTTTTAATCTTTTCAAGCGAGAAACGTTTCTCCCGAAAAGGAATTTATACGCGAGGATACAATAATGAGTATTACTCGTAGATTTAAAAGAGAGAGTCACACTAATACAGATATTGTCTAGAGCACCAAACGATTCTCGCCAAGATTTGGATTTTGAGACACTTTCTATCGAGCTTGTAATAATGCCGATCGATTTCTTTCTCCGTGCGTGGAAGAAATTATATAATACGCAGATACCTCCCCGAGAAATGTGCAATGAACGATTTTTACATTGAACAACAGGCGGCTGTCATTAAAGCAGTAATAATGTAACGACAAGCCGTTGGATACTTGGATCCTTCGGTCCTTGACTCGATGGATTTGTGGTTCTAGGTATAATCATATTTAACCCTTTTGCGCGCGTGCGACTATATGAAGGAACGTTTTATAAGAACTTTGCAAGCAGGTATTTTAAAATCGTAGACCATAAATACAATCGTAGGCTACGGGGAGGGTCAAGCGAAAGGGTTAAGTAGCGTATCGATGTAAGAGATTACTGGATCCTCGCGGATTCTCGCAGAGTCTCCTCGAGCTATTCTCATATCTGGAAACATTCTATTGAAATGTCTGTATGTGCGATTAATCCACTAGCGCCCGAAATCTTTTTCACCGAAAATTTTGTAATAATAAATAATTGGACCGGAAGGATAATATCGCATTAGAAATAGAAGAGAAGTGCGAGGAAGCTGGGCGTTAACGGATTGATTAATCTTGCGATTTATGTAAGTCGGAAATGTTGTTTCTCTATCGAGCGCATTTAATTTTAGGAGGGAACATCCTTACAATTAGTCGCGCTTAAAAGTGAAGAGCGGTTTTGAACCTGGTCAAGATAAAGTATACACGATGCGATATATAAATAACCATTTATACTACGATGCATACGGATAATCGACCGCAATTAATCACTATGCAATCACTATGCAACTTGGAAAGGAGTTTTATATTAAAATGTTACGTGCCACTATATAATACCAATAACAATTTTCGTTGGTTTTATACGTAATCGCGCATATGTTTTTATCCTACATCGGAGCATGACCGATGCACCAGACGAGCTAGGAAACTCCTCGATGAAAGGGTCCTCGCGTAGTCCAGCTAGCGCAGATCGAGTACATGCGTGCGTGCGTATGAGTGTGAGATGACTTGGTTGTACTATGTATAAATGTCGATAATTAGTTGATAGGAATGTAGCATAGCGTGTCGGTGCGTGTCGCGCGGTTGAAAAGGCCGAAAGTCGAGGAGAGAGGATCTGCAGCTAGCGTAGGACGCAGGATCCGCCGATCCCCAAGCTCCAATCCTAGAATCTGGAGCCGATCTGCGAATCGAAACCTGGGCCAGCACGTGGTCTAAGGCTGTGTATATAGAAAATGACGCCCCGCGTTAGAATTTATTAAGGTATATAGTTTGTACGTTGAGCTATATATATATTATATATATTATATACATATTATATTATTATTATTATCATCACGAATAATATAACGGTCACTGTCTTTACCAAGCCGATAGCATCATCATGCCTCATGTATCACATTAAACGGACGTATTAATACTCGCTTGTTCGTACCATGCCCGGCGGCCTCCCGCCTCAATTCGGTCCTCATTCCTTCCACGATCCATGCGTTCTCTCGGTCTGACGTCATGCATCTCGGAACGTGAGCCATTCGGAAAAAATGTCCAGCAAGACAACACGAATTCGGTGTTTCGGATAGTAGCTCCTATCGGACGCTTTACAGCAAGTCCAAAAACTTGCTTATCTCGAAGATTACATGCTCCCTTAGCCGATGACTCGACAAAGATTATATTAAGAATATTATAGGATTTGAGACGTCGTTAGCCCATGCGGCACGGAAAGTTAAAACAATGTTGCTGAAACGTTGCGATGTTGAAGTATAAATATCTTTTCTACGTTGAATCCAAGTTAACGTACTTTGTACATTCATTCTTTATATTGCTGCAACGTTAAAACAATCTTGAACAAATTATTATTTTTTGACACTCAAATAGCTACTTAAAAATGTATAATTGTGAAATGTGTATATATAATATTTTTGCAACGGCGAGAAATTTTCTGAGCCGAGATTGGATTATTATTTTAGTAGAATAATTCAATTTCGCACTTCCAACAATTGTAAAAAAATATTCTGCTAAACGCGACCAATGTTTACTCAACTCGCGTAAACTCCACGGTTGGTTTCGCGCGCGCGGTTCTAGCTACGCTTATACTTTGCGTGAGACACTGCACCGTGTCTCGTGATATAATTTAACAATATTTTCTGAATGTTGAATTGTAACGTTTACAAGACATTACGATTCAGCGGACATTAGACGTTTTTGCAATATCTTTTCAACGTTGAATCTACATTTCATAACATTGATGCAATGTAATGGAACGTTTCTGAGATGTTCATTCAACATTTGTGTGCTGTATGGGTAGACCGTATTTTTCGAGAAATTTTAATGTAACGTGAGAAATGTTGCTGAAGTGGTCGCGGTGCTCGGCTTAAGTAAAATCCACACGGAGAGAATCTTCTCTTCAAATTTATCCTGAAAATCACGTGATCGTGGAACGACGTGGCACTTCGGGCAATTTTATGAGAGTTTCTTGAAGTTTTACCATACATTTGACTACTAAAATGTCAAAAAAAACTCGTAAAGTTCTTCAAGATGCCATGTCCCACCGTTACGTGATGTTGAGGCAAAATTTTAGAAGAAAATTCCGCGCGCCGTCCCCCTTCACACTTGGGAAATGCCGTGCGAGAGGCGTAGATCGGGGCTGTCTCCCCGCGGTGTGAGGCCGATATAGAGCCGCGCGACGTATAAACCATGGCACGCCGTTACGTTGATCCCGAGGTTTGCATAAATGCATATGCAGCTTACAAAGCGGAGGCACTCGGAATACTTGTTGCAAATGCATGCATACATGATCAGCGGCATGCGCCGTCCGGTAATCTACATATACCAGCTGATAGCGGCAAGATGACGAGCGAAAAAATGGGACCGACGGATCCGCGCGTGCGATGTATATTCATTACATTACACAAAAGCCGCGCGAGGAGAATCGGACTCCCGCGACCGACCCAATTCGCCTGCCCGCCACGAAGAGATCGGTAAAGCCCGTATCAGAGGGTCGATTCCATGGTGTAAAGATACAAGGTGAAGCAATCCAGGTGGACGCGCAGTGTCAACCAATCAGAAGTGGCCCAAACTACCGAGTTGACCAATCGGAAACTTGCCTCAACCTTCAAACTGCAAATCATTGCGGTTGAATGCAGGAAGAGCCAATGAGCAATGTGCCCCAAAAAATTGGTTACACGCGCAATGTTTCACCTTGTATCTTTACACCATGGTCGATTCTGTATCTTACACTGTAGTGAAAATGCTAAAAGTGAGCGGCTTTGTCTCTTTCTAAGGGGACAGTTGGAAAGAGACAAAGCTACTCACTTTCAGCGCTTTCACTATATTGTAAAGCCCGTATCAGACTACGGATTGGGATTGGGATTAGATTGAAATTTGACCAATCAGAGTAAAAGTTACTGAACTTGGGATTAGTAAACTTTACTGTGATTGGTTAAATTTCAATCTAATCCCAATCCCAATCCGTAGTCTGATACGGGCTCAAGATACAGAATCAACCCTCGGACTACGGATTGAGATTGAGACTAGAGTAAAAGTAAAGCCCGTATCGGACTACGGATTGAGATTGGGATTAGATTGAAATTTGACCAATCAGAGTAAAAGTTACTGAACTTGAGATTAGTAAACTTTACTGTGATTGGTTAAATTTCAATCTAATCCCAATCCCAATCCGTAGTCTGATACGGGCTTTACTAAACTTGAGATTAGTAAACTTTCCTGTGATTGGTCAAATTTCAATCTAATCCCAATCTCAGTCCTGACGACGGGCTTAAAGCCCGTATCAGACTACGGAGTGGGATTGGGATTAGATTGAAATTTAACCAATCACAGTTTACTAATCTTAAGTTCAGTAACTTTTACTCTGATTGGTCAAATCTAATGGTTTCAATCTAATCCCAATCTCAATCCGTAGTCTGATACGGGCTTAACGCGCGTCGCGCATAGTTGTTGAAACAGCGCGGCAAAGTGTGACGCGATCGCGACACGAATTGCGTCACGAATACCGCGTCCGAGCCCGAACGAAACGCGCGCGAAACGCCCGGCGACAAATGTCCCTCTTCGTCGTCGTTCCACGCGGAGGATGTTCACCGTCGACGACGAGCGGTCACGCGGAGAGTGGCCGAAAAGAATCGATACCCAGTGGAGTTTCGATTTCCACGCGCGCGAATGATTCGCGAGCGCCCTGGGGCTCGATTCTTGAATCTATTCGAAGGAGAAACGTATACGAAAATTCTGCTCTTACAGAAAACTTGCAAGTTGATTGGCTATTCGCATGGCTTTAACCAATCGACTTTCAACTTTTCTGTCAGAGCAGAATGTTCGTATACGTTTCTTCTTCGAATAGATTCAAGAATCGAGCCCCTGGCTCGTTACAACGCGCGTTCATATCGCGACTATTGAACGTCGAACGAGGCAGACGTAGCGTAACAACAGTTAATTTATTCTAGGGATATAAGCGCACTCTTCTGCGTGCGAATGGAGGCATAAAGAAGGAACAACGATAAGATGGCGCAAGACTAACCGCCGGAACAGAAAGGGTACGCGCGGAGAGAACGGAGGATACGCAGGGGAGCAATACGTGAGAGTATAGAAAAAGGAGGAACACATCTAGGTGAAGATAAACGGAAGAGCGAAGACGTCGCCGGCGACGGCGCCGGCGCGCGAGCGAATAAATTCGCTCCGGGGCGAGCGGAGTGGAGCGACGCGATTGGCCGGCCGACCGGCCGGCCGGCCGGTCACAGAAATTCAATTGCCGCTACTCCTTTCTCCCGTCTCGTTCTCTCTCTCCGCTTGTCCGGTCGGAGCGCGGCAAACGTGCCCAGCGAGCGAGACTGAGCGAGACGGACGTCGTTTCCCAAGGGATCGTATCGCCCCGACCGGGGCGACCGGCCGTCAGTTTGTCGACGGCGTTGCTCTTGCGCGCACGATCGCCGCGCACGATCGCTTCCGTCGCGAGTAACGTAATACGTAAACAGCCGTGCGCGCGTGTCGTCCGTCTTGCTCGTCCCTGCGGAAAGCCGGGCGGAAGCGCGCCAGGGGACCGTGGGAGCGAAGCGCGATCCAAGAGGAGTCGGCCGACGGCTCGTGCGAGCCACACGCTGCTGTCCGCGCGAGCGGCGCGCGTTGAACGATCGATTCGGAACCTAGGTACGTAGATCGTGCGCGCCTGGAATCCTCGATCGCTCTCCGGACGTAGCGGCAGCGACAGCCGTGCCCGGGGCCAACGACGGCAGGCCCGGAACCGTCGTTGGAGCTTCAATCCTTATCGCGTTCGCGTGTCCGAGGCAAACTCGCGCGGGGCGGAGGGGAGAGAAATTATTTAACGCAATCTCCTCGTCGAGTACACATTTTCGATCTTTCTCATTAGCGTACACGTTTAGAGTCGGAGGGCGATCGATTTGTATTAGCGGTTGTCCTCTCGAGATAACACGTGTATTTACGACGGGGTAATTTATTCTAGTGGGAAAAATTGTTCTTTTTTTGTCGCGTTGTTATCAGTTTGTGACTTAAATGCCGCGCTGCGTTTATGCTCGCAGGCATTGTTTGCCATACCTTTTTCCCGGCGAGTTTTGCGTCACGCAGCGAATCGCCAATCGCGGGAGATTCTTTTTTGTCAAATTATTGTCGCGCGACAAGAAAATTCGACGCTCTGCAACGGCACTCGCCGGTACGTGGGCGATAGACGTGTCGTGGAACGTACAGCCTCGCTATCGCGCGAAATTAGGAAAAGTAACCAGCACTTGGTATCGGTGGCTTTTAATTTTCTCCCGATGAAAATTCACAGATACTCGAAAGAGACGAGAGAAACGGAGATGGACTGTACGACGTCTTTTTACCAATGGATTCGGATTCCGCGATTTATGAATGAATTGCAATTAATGAGTTGCGCGAATGAGATACGATTGAAAAGGATTTTTTGGGGATATTTAATAGCCTCGTGGCGAGAAGGAAGCAAAAGGAGCAGGTACAACGAAGTTAAAAGAGAAAAAGCAATCGGGAATAGAGAGAACCCGCGGCCAGTCGGTCGCTGGCCAGGACGCCCGGTCAGGGCGGGAGCAGGAACGGGAACGAGGGGTCTCTTCTATTTTCGAACCGGGTTGATGAGAGTGGGCTCTGATCGCAGCCACGTTTTCTAGCCTGGGATCCGCACATTATACAACTCTTTCCGCCGCCGTATGCACGCTTGCCCGCCGCTGTTACTTTGCCCTGGAACAGTCATGACTGATGGAGCAATCCGCGCTATACCACGTCGACTCGTGCCGGAACGGCATAATAGTGGCATAATAACGTGGCCGTGATTAGGCGAGACGAGGCGAAACGAGAAGCACATGTCACTCTCCTGTCGCCAGCGTGTGACGACAGAGTTGGAATTTATCAAATTTATTCGAGAGACGCGACCATTGTACTTTGCTT